ACCAGACCTTTGCGGTGGCTCATACGCACAATCAGACTCGGCTACGTGATTCAATTTGCAAAACGGCCTCCAAGTTCACGGGTGTGCATTTCACCAGGGTCAGTTCCCTGTTTAGCCCTGATTTGCGAGAGAAGATTGCTGTCCTCCTGGAGAAGGATGCAATCGAACTGGTCCCTTCGGCCAAGATGGAGAGTGGGTTTTACAGCCCGTACTTCATTGTGCCCAAAAAGAGCGGTGGGTCACGGCCAATCTTAGATCTGCGTGTTTTGAACAACTGTCTGCACAAGCTGCTGTTTAGAATGCTCATGCAGAAACGCATCCTCTGGTGTTTTGTCCTTGGAATTGGTTTGCAGCAATAGACCTGAAGGATGCATAATTCAAAAATGCAAAAGTCTCCATTCTTCCACGCCACCGTCAGTTCTGTGGTTTGCATTTGAAGTTCGAGCTTGGCAATACAAAGTCCTCCCCTTCAGGCTCTCTTAGTCTCCGTGGGTCTTCACCAAGCTTGCGGAGGGTGCCTTAGCGCCCCTTCGACTCGCGGGCATCCGCATACTCAATTAACTTGACGACTGGCTGATTTTTGCCCATTGTAGGGAGTAATTGATTATGTCAAGGTGCTCTGGCACCTCCACCTGCTGGGGCTTCAGATCAACTGAGAAAAGAGCAAACTCGCCTCCGTGCAGAGGATCTTTTTTCTCGGGCTGGAGCTGTACTCAGTCCCCATGACAGCAAACCTCTCCGAAGAGCGAGCTCAACTAATGCTGAACTGTCTAAGAAAATTCAACAGCAAAATAGTGGTCCCTCTGAAATTATTTCAGAGGTTCCTGGGGCATATGGCATCCGCAGCCGCTGTCACGCCACTCGGATTACTCCATATGAGACCACTTCAGCACTGGTTTCACGATTGAGTCCCCAGACGAGCATGGCACGCGGGCCTGTGGAAAGGAACGCAGTTGCATTGGCATATCAATCGCCTAGAGCTGTTGGCAGTGTTCCTCGCTCTCCACCGATTTTTGAGCTGGAGCAGCAGCACATCCTGACCAGCACGGCGGCAGCAGCGTATATCAACGGCATGGGGGGTATTCGTTCTCGCCGCATGTCTCAGTTCGCCCTGTTTGCTCCTCTGGAGTCATACGCGACTGAAATTGCTGCATGCCATTCACATTCCAGACGAGCTCAACCGTGCAGCTGATGCACTCTCACAACAGCCTTTACATCCAGAAGAATGAAGACTCCATCCCGAGTCAATTTAGCTGATATGGGCGCGATTCGGGAAAGCCCAGATTGATCTGTTTGCTTCCCCCGAGAGCGCTCAATGCCAGTTGTTTTTTTCCCTGATTGATGGCTCTCTCGGCATGGATGCACTGGCCCACAGCTGGCCTCAGGGCATGCGCAAATATGGGTTTCCCCCAGTGAGCCTTATTGTGCAGTAACTGTGGAAGGTCAGGGAGGACGAGGAGCAGGTCTTGCTAGTTGCGCCCCTCTGGCCCAACCGGACCTGGATGTCAGAGCTCTCCCTCCTCACGACCGCCCTCCACTGGCAGATCACTTTGAGAGAGGACCTACTCTCTCAGGGACAGGGCACCATCTGGCACCCTCGCCCCGATCTTTGCAACCTCCACGTGTGGTCCTTAGACGTGAGAAGACTTAGGTAACCTACCGGCTGCGGTGGTTAATACCATCACTCAGGCTAGAGTCCCCTCCACGAGGTGCGCTTACAACCTGAGTTGGAGTATATTCACTGAATGGTGCATCTTTCGCAGAGAAGACCCCCGAAATTGCCAGATCAGCATTGTGCTTTCTTTCCTCCAAAAGAAACTGGAGAGCAAGCTGTCGTCCTCCACACTCAAGGCTTACATGGCTGATGCGGGGGCTGGCAGCACCGTGGGAAAGCATAACATCATCATCTGGTTCCTAGGCGCTAGGCACTAGGCGAATTAATCCACCCTGCCCCCCTCTCATGCCCTCTCGGGATCTCGCCCTCGTTCTCACGAGCCTACGTACAGATCCCTTCGAACCACTCAACTCGGTATCTTCAAGATTTCTGTCCCTGAGGACAGCTCTGCTGGTCGCGTTGGCATCCATTAAGAGGGTTGGGGACCTGGAGACATTTTTGCTCAGTGACTTGTGCCTGGAATTCGGGCCAGCTTACTCTTACGTTGTCCTGAGAGCCCCCAATATATGTGCCCAAGGTTCCTACCACATCGTTTAAAGACCAGGTAGTGAGCCTGCAAGCGCTGCCCCCAGAGGAGGCAGGCCCAGCCTTTTCATTACCTTGTCCAGTTCGCGCTTTGGGAATTTATCTGGACTGCACTGAGAGCTTTAGATCATCTGAGCAGCTCTTTGTCTGTTATGGTGGTTGGCAGCAGGGAAGTGCCGTATCAAAACAGAGGTTGGCCCACTGGATAGTGGATGCCATCTCCCTCGCTTACCAGAGCCAGGGCGAGCCGTGTCCCTCTTTAGTGCGTGTGCACTCCACTCTGAGCATTGCATCCTCTTGGGCGTGTGCATGTGGCGCCTCTCTAACAGACATCTGTAGAGCTGCAGGCTGGACGACACCTAATTCATTTGCAAGGTTTTACAATCTGCGAGTTGAGCCTGTTTGCTCAAGGGTATTAGGTAACCCTTGGTGATTGAGGAAATAACTCAGGTAAGGTGTTGAAACACGCTTAACACGGAGATACATGCACTTATTCACTCTGTCGGTAAAGTTCCCCGCTTAGGTGAGCCCAGCAGAGATTCCTCCGAGGCTCCCAGCACTGACTCAGCGGAGGAGTCACTCGCTGACCCATAACGTTGTAGGTCTGCCCTCTGGTCAGCCCGAGTTTTGGGTATAGGTGCCTGCTATGCGTGATCCCCACTAGGCGATCCCATATGCTTATTCAGCCACGGTGCAGTCCCCCCTCACAGGTGGACCCGTGTCGTCCCTCTCCGCTAACCATCTTATTATATGTGTACTCCCCCTTCTCAGGGCTAGTCCATATACTCTTATGCCACCATATCTCCCCACTTGGGTCGCACATGGCCTCCGCAGCATCCTGCCTATCGGAACTGCATGCTTTCCCAACGTTTTGTCGTATTTAAATTACTAAAAATTATCTAGGTGCTTTGCGGCTCCCGAAAAATATATCTAAATCTGTGAATCTTCTATTGAAGTGGGATAAGTAAGGGCCAGGGAACACGTTGGAAGATTGCGCCTCTCTATTATACAGGTGCGAAGGTAAGGTGCAGTCATTATGGCGTTTTCCAGATATTTCCCTATAAGTGGATTAAATACACTATAGCATTGAAGTTTCCCATAAAAAGGGGAATGCTCTGGTTACTAAAGTAACCCTCGTTCCCTGAGGGGGGGAACGGAAACGCTATATTACATCGCCATAATGATTGTCCCTTAGCTGTGAGTATCAGTCTCTTCAGCTCAAAAAAAGAATGCCTCACCTTGCTCTTGCTGTGCTTTCATTGCTAAATTGATTGCAACAAGCATCAGCTGCGCAAGTGATTAAATCCACTATAGCATTTCCATTCCCGCATTTGCAACCCAAATAATAAGTCTTTGAGAATGGGTTTCTAAGTCAGGTGGCACATTAGACCAGGGGCTTATCTCCTGTTTACAAAATGCATCACAAACTGCATGAGAAACTGTTCTACTATGATAATTGGTGATGAAAATAAAGGATGTTCATTAAGATGTACTTGTGTTTAATGACTGTTTATTCAGTTAAACATTAATTTTGAACTGTAGGCCTACATAAGCTCGAAACAGCGATTGTTGATAACCTTAATTCGACTAAAGTCATAACTGAACTAAACAGAAATGGAACCAAAACATGTGAAGTATGCACATATTAGAGGCATTATTGTAGTAAACACTACGATCAAACTATTACTGTCATGTAGGACTTATCACCATATTTTCCGACAAGATCCACACACACGGCTGTCAGTAAAGGACCATTCCGCAAAATCCGCAAATTTTTTTACAAAACTCTCTGCAGAAATAGCAACAAACATCCGCAGATTCTGTCTGGTCCTAGTTATATCTCTGAACTTTAAAAATAAAAACGCTCTGCTTTCCACCTCCTTTATTCTTCCGCAATGACTTTTAGAGCAAGTACTTCGAAATCAAGTTCCGGGTTCTTTCACAAGCTCTCTGTTCTTGCGGTCTTGAGAATTGGAACTTATCTTTAGTGGTTTATGATGATGTTACACGAAAACATAAGGACACAACATGACACACAATGCATAGAGAGAAACAGCCAGAGATTTGCTTCAACCCTAATCAAAAACACCTGAACACACTAATGAAGAACTGAAGGTTACTAGAAAGATAGACAGGTGTTTATCAAGGCCCAATTTAAACTCAAAACAACTCTACAGAACCAAACTTTCCCACCCCTGAGTAACAGGTCTTTCACACCACACAAGCAAACTGAGTGCACCATGTAGGGACAGCAAAGCCAATGCGCAGGAGTTTGGCTTTCACAATATATAGGTAAGCACCAAAAAATTACCAAAGTGCCTTTTATTTAAGTCATTGCTTTGTTTTTCCAGTTGTATAAAAATCATTATCCATTTCCTGTAAAGAAAACAATTCAACTGTTACCTCTTAATCTAAAAGAACAGCGTGTGCAAAGAAGGATTGTGACGCATTTCATTTATGAGCAATGTTTCAGTCAATCCAACAAAACTAGTATATGTAGCAAACATGTTTATTCTTTGACAATTGACCTTGTTTTCATTGTTCAAGTGCATGTTTAAACAAGTCAGCTCTATTTCTGTGTAATACATTGCATTGTGTAACAATCCACACATAATTCCTTCAAACTGCATATTTGAAGGCTCTGCTATATCCTCGTAACCTAGTTAGCTCTACTGTCTACATTTGCAGAAAAAGTTAAGCGAGTGATTTAAAACATTAAATTGCCACCAATTCAATAATGTCCATCTAAATGTTTAAACAAGCTGAAAATTATTTAAAACATTTTGTATTTTTTTTTTACCTTTCCCACTTTGTTTTTATCTGATCTGTCAGTCTCTCCATCCATAAGAGAAGATGTAAATGTGGTCATATCCTATTAAAAGACAAAATGTCAGAGTTAATGGTAAACAATCAAAAATTGCATTCTAAAGAGACTACTTAAACTTAGTGTATTACATAGAGCCTATTGATTATTTTAATTCATATATTTGATAACAATTATAATTTACAATACATCAGCTCACACCGTAAACTATGGCTGAATGTGATTGTTACAACCTCCTGGCTCAAGAAAGTAGTAACAAAACCAAATAAAGATCCAAACCAAAAAATCAAATCAACTTAAATATATTTAATCAAAAATTAAGTGAAATGATACATGAATATAAAGAAAAGAAAAAAAAATCCAAAATTGAAGAGGGAAGGATGAACACCCGCAATCCTGTTCTCTCAGTTTTTATCCAAACACATATCACAGGTAACACTCCACACCTGGTCCAAACGTCAATCACGGCAAAACACCGCACCTGTTCAAAACTCCAGAAAAATACCAGATCATGGAACACCTTCATCTAGTGGACACTGGTTAACAAAACCTTACGACCGTCACAGTGATAAACTGCTATAGTATAGGTTGACATTCTTGTTTATTTTTGATAATTAGTTGTGCAAGTTTACATTTACTAATTTAACAATTAAATGCTCATTGAAAGATATTAGCTATAAAAAGCCACAGAAACTCCACAAAATGCCACTCAACTCTCTCTGCCACATCACATAAAGATGGTATTTACCGCTGGCTGACCCACCTCTTAGGACTCGCTTAAGACTAGACTCTGTCAGACATTGAAGTGAAAAGCAGTGTTCCTAATTATACAACACTTCCTGCCATATTGAATATTGTAGGTTGCCATGTCCTTGGTCTGACAACACATTGACCGCATTTCACTTGATTCAATAAGGGAATACCAGGGATCCCATATATAAATGTATAAACAAAACAAGGACTGAAATGTTTCTATGCCACTTCCTATTCAAAAGTTCTGATCTATAAAAAGCAAACTTGATGACGAGAGCTGAAAATGGTCGGACCTAAAGCGGGTTTTAAATTGGATGTGTCAAAGCATTCCAGTTTCTCTCTAAAAAGAAACGAAGAGACAGAAAAGGTGACAGACAAATAAAAATTGGTATGCAGGCACTGCCAGACTGCCAGATTTCTGACAGACTGGGGTTTATTGTGAGTAGTTGCTAAATGCAAATATAAACGTCAATAAAAACAAAGGATCGAATTATGTCAGATCCACAAAAAAATCTGAGACATCACCTCCAGTAAGTTATGATGACATAGTCACAACTCACAATCAACTTAGTTTTTTGTAAATCTATCAAATGTATGTGTTGCCAAATAGCAACACTGTGCAATAGTGGAAAGTGCAATGTTACAATAGGTTAGCTAGCTAGCAAGGTCAGCTTTGAACTTTTAAGTTTAACAATAAGAACATGAAAGCTAGTAACAATGTTAATTAGTTGTATGTTAATAGCATTTGCATTACAGATAAAATCTAGTTTTAATGGCAATACTACTTTTGAATTGATATTACAGTTTTTTCCAATTGTTTACATAAAATTACATGTACTTCAGACACAATGACTACAACATGTAACTGATGCACCAACCCCCTGAACCAATTCTGCTAACTACAAGCACAATTCCTGCTTTACACTCAAATTGCTGGTTTAAAACACACTTTTTTCAAAACACTACACACAATTCTCTGCATTTTGCACAATTTCCATGCAGAAAATCTTTTGTTTTCACAAGGAACACACTGTCATTCACAATTGTAAAGTCAGTTGTCCTACTTTGCATTCTAACTCATCACATGAGTAAACACCTGTCACACAGAATTGCAATTTAGAAATCAGGGCTCATCTGGTTCACAGCTAGTTTACAGCCCACCCATGTTTTTTAGTTGTTTATCTCCCTCCATATTCTCCATTCCTCAATCCTATTGAGGATTTTTTTTCTGCCTGGAGATGTAAAGTGTATGACCGAAATCCACACACATGTACAGTATCCCCCTTCTCCAAGCTATAGCAGTTGATGCTTTTTGTGGCTGGATTCGCCATGCAAAGTGACATTTCCCCCACTGCTTGGCCAGACCAAAACAGAAAATAGGATGGAGTACAGCTGTTTTTTTATTATTATTATTTTTTAAATTAAAAAAAAATGTTTTACTGTGACTGTATTCAGTAAATACTTCTGTTTATGGTATATGTAGACCACGATATCTGCAACTTTGTGTTGGTTGGGATGAACACTGTGTACACTGTATTTGTGGGGAAAATACAGTAAAATATATTTGGTATTTGTTTGTTTTGTATAAAAACAATACTCTGAAATATTTTACAATGCACTTCTGTAGGCCTACTGTCTGTAGTAAAGTGTAACATTGAACAAAAAAAGGCTTACAGAAAGTCATAATAATGAATGGAGAAGAAGTGGTCATACATTATGGTGTTTTACATTAAGCACATCAGTGTTCAACTGAACTAATAAATGTCTATTCCTGTGGTGGCTTGTGTGTATCATTTATAAAACAAAATACCATTTTGAGAAGAAATCACATTGTTTTGAATGTAGAGTTTCATTTTGCAGAAGAATTGCAGAGTTTTGCCCAATGTGTGTGTGTGTTTTGTGATTTGTGTGTAGAGTTCTGACAAATGAGACCAGCTTACAGAAAACGTGTGTAAACAATTGGAAAAAAACTGTAATACAGGGTATTAGAGACTACCAGCATGTTCTTTGGTAAGTGAAAGAAGAAAAGGACAGAACTGGCTCTTTCTGCAGATGAAAGTGAGGATAAAATTGGTTTTAGTGACCATGAGAATGATGCAGACTGGACATTTGATAGAGACAGTTCAGGTAAGTTAGCTCAAAGGCAGATAAGACAGGTGTAGTATAATATATAAATATTGTTAGCTAGTAGCTACATTATTCTGATGTATCTGGATATACTAGACTTATTTATTTGTTATAATATTTACTGGATAAAATATTTCTATTTACTGTATGTTTTATATAGGATAATACAATATTAGGTTTGTTTTTAATAATATTCAGCAAAAAAGAATGAAAATGAAAGCTGTTGGAATATGAGTTGTTGGAAAGTATGTACAAGGTGCCATTTATAAGTTAAATAAACACAATTTTGACACTGTACGGAACACACACGCTTCATTCAATATAAATCTGATTGCTTCATTTACACACTGCGGTAATCAATCTTAAACACTTGTATAATTACTAACTGACTAATACAATCTGGGTTTCAGTGGTATTGCTATAAGGTAGATGAACATACTGTATTCACCAAACAGAGATAGACTAATAGCTAAATTATGCCTTATGCTAACAAACCAAACAACAAATGTAAAGTGGATTTATTTAGCTTTCTGGTGATGTATATATTTCATTATAAAAAAGAAATTCTCATCCCGTCTTCTGTTTACCAATTTTTCTCCCTTTCGTGTTTCGTCTTCCATACTGCAACATTGCCTTCCATATTTTTTGACGAGTTATAGCTATACTACTGTAAACATATTTATTGAATAGTTATATTTTTAGCTAGCTATACTACTATGAACATATTTATTGAAGACTAATAGTTTACCTATTGCTTTTATATTGTGGTTACATTTGATTGGTGGGTCTACAGTTTTGCACCACTTTGTATGCACACCTGATGGCTGTGTTTAACCAATGGTTCATGTGTGTGTTCATATGAAGGCCTTTGCTTTGAAATTGCAAGGAATTCCATCATGAAAAATATGTGTCAAAAGCATCCAAGTGTGTTAAGTGTTATGCAATTACTATGAGTAATGTTTTGCAAAAACTGTGAAGCTGACCACGTGCAGACCCTTGTGTTTAGTTCCTTGAGTGTTAGGTTTTGCTTATTGTGGGAAAAGTTACATTTTAGTGCGTAAGCAATCATAAAAAACTGTAAGTAGTGAGTGTGTGTGATCTAGTGGATACAGTAAATATAGCATTTTGATTGGTTGTGTTTGGAAAAAGAAAGCAAGTCAGTTCCTGTTAGATTTTTGTGTTTTAAGTTAAGAATTATGTGTAGTGTTTTGGAAAAAAATGTTTTATGCATATGGACACTTAATTCAAGGCTGAGAAAAAGCTTCTGGTTTTGGAAATTTTGGATGTAGTTTGCATTCTAAGTGAGTGATTTCAAAACTTGTGTAACATGAAATGATTTTGTGTTTAAGCAGTTGGAAAAAACTGTAAAACCCTACACACAATGGTCTATCTAAAACATAAAAATCTAACAGGAACAGACTTGCTTTCTTTTTTCAAACACAAAACCTCAAAATGTTACATTTATTCACCAGGTCACACACACACACACACACACACACACACACACACACACACACACACACACACACACACACACAATAAAAACATATAGAGGAATTCTCAGCCTGGCTCTGGAAAGTGTATGATGGCCAACCCTATAGTATGCCCACAGGACGCTTCTCCAGGAAATGGATGCTTGTCCCTTCAAGACCCCCCACACCCAATTGTGTTTTCTACTATATATAAAGAATGTACTTTTGTTTTATATAAGTTTTTTTTTTTGTCTACATACAGTATGTTTATGGTTTTGTAAGCTACTAGTTTCTACTAGAAAAGTTTCTGCATGTGTTCTGTGTTTACAATGTACCTGTTACTCCTCTCAGCAGATCACTGTCACTGTAGAACATTGTACTGAAATGTAGATATATAAGCCCATGATAAGCACAGAGCTTTAGATTTAGAGCAACTATGTTTACAGGCTTTATTCAAACATTTACTATTATGAAAGATGTGTTTGCCATTTAATGCAAATGCTTCATTCTGATATGTGTGCGGTTTAAAAAATTGAGTGTAAAGTTAAAAAAAAAAAAAGGTGACATTGATGTTTACTGATGTTTACAGTGTACCTGTTACCCTTTCAGCAGGTTACTGTCACTGTAGAAGATGGTATAGGAATGTAGATATAAGCCTATGAAAGAGCAACAAGCTTTAAATTTAGAACAACAGTGTTTACATGATGTACTTTTGGAGCCAGCATGTAATATTGCGTAATGACGAGTCACTGCTGTAGAGAACGCGCTTTCCCGTACTACTTCCTCTTTCACTTTCATGCAAAGCCTGGCTCATAGCAAGGCGTTCAAAGTCATATATTTTGGGTAATTCCATCAAAACCATTGACAGCACGCTAGCGTATGATCTGTTTTGTTGTCGTATGCAAACAAACGCCTGTTCAACCAAAGATTACACACACACAAGCATTCATGTTTACCGACACGCGTTCGCGTGTAGGGAGGGGGAGATGAGGGAGGGATTGCAGCTCAAGTTTTGACAGCTCTGAAGGACTGATTTTAAATTATATAATTTAAAATATTTTGATATTAAAAACCCACATGTTCGAATCGAATTAATGCAAGCAGGACAAGAGCACACCAACTCTTAACACTGACTAAACATTTAGGCTAACGTTACCTTAATAAATGCAATACCTTGCTGTCAAGACGTTCTAAATATACCATATACCATCTGAGGTTCTAAAAAGGCACCGGATCGATCCATTTGTTGCTTACTATAGGCAATGAGAACATGCTGTACACTTTTAATGCTTCCCAGCCACCTAACGTAACACTCACGCGTAAATGACGACATTTATTGAAGCAATAAAGTTACAAAACATGTACAACTAAAATAAACTCACTGGCATTTTAAGGCGCAGGGATCGCTTTTTCTTAGAGAATTTCTTTGCACAATCCTTCTCCTTGGAGTCCATCACTGTACTTCCCATTTTTTCTGCAGTCAGAATTATTCTTTGTACTGAAGAATTTTATACAATCTCTAACTTATTCAATGCCAGGCTACATATCAAATCGCCGTAGGTAATGCGAATTTTGCAAAAGCTCATATGAGTTAAATATAAATCATCCCGAAACTTCTGTTCCTTGTTAGTGTCACTGCGTGGAGGACATCCGCATTCATTCTTTACTTCTGTAATAGGTTCGATCCCCTCACGGAGGAGCTGCGCAAAACTTTACGAGTGCTGCACAGTCCGGACGGAGTTCTGCTGACAGTTCGTATCAATCCTTTTTTTTACAAGAGAGGCTAGAAAAGTAAAGTTTTTTTTATTATTATTATGTTTAAATATTTTTATTATTCAAATTAATGTTTTGAATGTTCTGGCCAGTCTACAGGCTACAATAGGCTAGTTTTTAATTTAAAATTAATAATTTTAAAATTATAATTCCTACTTTTTTTTCTAATGACTTATAATATAATAAATTTGTATTTAAGTATTTATTAAGTTTTTTTTATTCTAAATCTTTAGGAAATATTTTGGTACATTAAGTGTCATTATGATGACAATCTAACAAGCTAATCCAGCTAAAATTAGTGCTTAATGTCACTAAAATGCAGTATTTAAATCTCATAAATTGTAAATTAGGTGAATAACTGCAAAAAGGTCCACATTTTGAGAAAAAAAGAACCATCCCTTATACCAGGATGGCTACGTGCTTGTAATCTATTTGAAAATTCATGACAAAATGTCGGCACAGATACTAAAATCAAAAATAATATCAAAATTATTCTATTCTATTCTATTCTATTCTATTCTATTCTATGTTATAAGCACACACAGCAATCATTCTTAAAGAGAGATAGCTTATCCATTAGCCTATATGTGTCTAGGAATTGCAAACCACGTATGACTTTACATCAATGAAATCAAATACATCCCTCTCGTAATGTCAATACATACTTTTAGAGTAAACACTTACATTGCATTAAAGATGTAAACTTACATTTCTGGCTGCATGGTGGTGCAGTGGGTAGCCCATTTGCCTCACATTAAGAAGGTCGCTGGTTCAAGCCTCAGCTGGGTCAGTTGGCATTTCTGTGTGGAGTGTGCATGTTCTCCACACATTCGTGTGGGTTTCCCCCAGGGTGCTCCGGTTTTCCCCACAAGTTTAAAAACGTGGTATAGCTGAATAGGGTAGGCTAAAATTGAGTGTATAAATGTTTCCCAGTGAAGCATTGCAGGGCATCCGCTGCGTAAAACCTATGCAGGATAAGTTGGTGGTTCATTCCGCTGTGGTGATCCCAGATTAATAATCTGAATGAATGAATAAACTTACATTTATACATTAAATACATTTTTTTATTGGAAACAATATTTCAATGTGTGCAGCTTACTTGGCTGCAATGTGAAGCTGCAAAGAACAGAACTATTCTGTGACTGTATCAAACCTGGAACCAGACATAGAGTAGATTCTTTTTTAAAATATTTTTTCATATTTTATTCATTCATTCATTCATTCATTCATTCATTCATTCATTCATTCATTTTCTTTTCAGCTTAGTTGCTTTAATAATCAGGGGTCGCCACAGTGGAATGAATCAACATATCCAGCATACAGTATGTTTTATGCAGTGGATGCCCTTCCCATCACTAGGAAACACGTCATTAGACTGTGGGGGAAACTGGAGCACCCGGATGAAACCCACATAAACATGAGGAGGAACATGCAATCTCCACACAGAAATGCCAACTGGCCCAGCCAGTACTCGAACCAGCAACCTTCTTGCTGTGAGACAATTGTGCTACCCACTGTGCCACCGTGATGCCTTTTTGTTTTTAAATAAGACAAATTTAGAAATGATGTATTCCTACACAAATAAAATTGAAGTGCTGAAAACGGTTTAATAGAACCAGTGGATTGATGGTTCAAGGAGAATATTTGAATTGATGTTTATAATTATTACATTTCTGCACTGTTATCATGTGAGTTTAACCTCCTGTTGTCTTAGAATATATCATTCCACGAAGATATATTTCAGATGTTTATTTCTTGTAATTTTGATGATTTTTATGACAACTAATGAAAACCCCAAATTCTGTATCTCAGAAAATTTGAATATTACTTAAGACCAATACAAATAAAGAATTTTTAGAAATCTTTGCGTATTGAAAAGTATGAGCATCCACAGCACTCAATACTTAGTTGGGGCTACTAATACTTAACTGTGGCACTGCTCAGGTGTTATGAGAGACCAGGTTGTTCTGGTAGAGGCCTTTAGCTATTTATTCTTCATTGTTAATTTTGGCATAAAACACTGAATGAGGATGTTATTTTTTGATTATTTCTTTAAATTTCTTTGTAACACATCACATTATTGTCCGAACCCATGTTTATATTTGTACTGTTCCTCTGTAAGTAAAGAACTCTTTCCTCCTCTGCATTCTCCACCCTCAATCCTTTGTAGATCAATTTAAATACATCTTAATGCAAATGTTATAGGTTAACACACCGTTTTAAACATGGAATACAGTGAGTGCTGAATACTTTAGTACCGATAGCTAAATATTACCTTATTCTAACAAACCATGCAACAATGTGAAGCTTATTTATTCAGCTTTCTGGCGATGTATACATTTCAATATAAAAAAATGCTTCCCTATCCTGTCTCCGTTTTACCAATTTTCCTACCTTTCGTGCTTCCTCTTACTGCGACATTGCCTTCAATATTTATTAACCACTTAAACTCTTAAACTCTGTGACGTCATCGACTTTCGCTTCAAGATTTAAAGGGCTAGCATTGCACCAGACCACCGTAAGTGGTTTCGTTTGAAAGTGTAGAATCTATATTTTATGCACATATGCATCACTTTGGGTTTAATTTTACTGCACAAAAGTTATGTACACTTAAATACACAGTATTTTGGATACCCGAGCTAGGTATTTTACATTGGTTCATTTTCATATTTTTCATATGACACATGTACAAGTTAAAGCTCAAATGAAAGCTCTTGCCGGTGCTTATATGGTTCTAGCATTCTTTTTACTGAATTATATTCACATATCAAACAGTTGCCGAATGAATTGCGGTGTTTCCATGGCGCAAAAATGAAAACAATACATTTATGATCACTAAGCAACCCCAGATAGCACAGACAGCTGTCATCTCTTACCTTATGCTGTGTGCTTCAGGGCCATTTCTCCTCGGTTTTGGAGGTGATGTGCATAAGTAATCCCTTTATATGTCTGATGTGGCCCAAACATAGTGAATTATGTTTAATTAAACAAAAGAATAGTGAAATATGAAAACAATGATGGCCCCTGTGGCTTGTATAGCACCTCTTATCAGTTGGAATACAATAACTTTTGCATTAATTAAGGTAGAGACATTTTTCTTTTTTCCTATGATTACAGACATTTGTAGGAACCACCAAAATTAATTACAGCACGATAGACCAGACAGTACCTAAAAGGTACAGTTTCAAATTTGGGTTCATAAAAAAAATAAAAATACAAAAAGCGCCTCTTTTTTAGGCGTTTATTATAACACAGACAACATATACAGTTATTTTAAACACTTTTAATAGTGTTTTATGAAAATTCAAAGGGTTTTCTTTAAAATAATACAAAATTTTTGCATTTACACTTCTGCATGTGGATTTGGGAAGCTTTTAAATTTGGGTAGGCAAAATCCAGGCGGAAATCCCAAAATAGCAGCAGAGTTTAACTGGTTAAAGACTAATAGCTGTACTACTGTAAGCATATTTATTAAAAATTAATAGTTTATAGCTAAACTATCATATTGTTTTTTTTATTGAGGTTTTTGAGGTATTGTTTTATTGAGGTTACATATGATTGATTGCAGCAGTGTGTTTGCATACCTGATGGTTGTGTTTAAACCAGTTGGTTCATCCCAGCTAGCAAAATTCATGTGGCTTAAATCTGGCCCACACCAGACACTTACATCTGGTTCACATACCACATGGAATGATGGCACTTGGGCAGTCCACTCTTGTTTGCTAGATCTGGGCCACAATTACATGTAAGCCATAGCAATATCACAAATTAGCCAGAATTCAACCAATCGAACCAGAATTGACCCTATTCTGGGCCACAGTTTGCTTTTATTTTGACCCAGATGCGGCCCACACCAGACACTTACTTCTGGACCACATACTGAGTGGAATGATGGGTCTAGGGTGGTCCGCTCCTGTTTTTCAGGTCTGGGCCACAAATAAGCCAAAGCAATATCACATATTAGCCAGAATTCAACCAAATGGACGAGAATGAACCCTATTCTGGGCCACAATTTGCTTTTATTCTGACCCGGATCTGGCCTACACCTTACACTTGCTGGGTGTGGCAAAGTACAAAAATCCCAGTATGCATTGCAGTATGACTACATTCTATTGCTTATTGATGCTACATTTTTCCTTATTTGCTGTTGATTCTGCTGTTTATGTTGACGTTGTTGATTTTGTCATTTTTATTATCCTTTTTGTGTTGTTTGTAATTTTTTGTTCATTTTGTTAATTGTCACTGTTGTAGAGGTTCATACGTTGATTATTGATCGATTGATTGAGCAGAAGTTTAACCATATATATATATATATATATATATTTTTTTTTTAACAACCTTCAAATTTCTGTGGCATATGCAAGCATGTTATTACATGATTTCTAACAATGGAGCAAACATTGGTTAACATCATTGAATTATATTATTTCAACACAGGTTGTGCCTCACTTAATTTGATAGTTTTTTTTATAGAACTTTGATGGGCGGGGGTAATGAATTAACTTATCAAGCAAAGTTCTTAACAGTTACAGCAGCCAAAAAGAAAATGTATATTAATAGGTTCAGGGCTATGAGCCCAACTAAAGCAAACACTTTTCTCCATGATATTAACTTTAGTTTATGTGGTCCACATATGTTTTAAGATAACTGGGTCACATTTGCCTCATCTTCTCTGGGCTGCTTTAGGCTCACAGCCACAATAGCCAGAGCTAACTAAGTATTACGATAATTGGGCCACATTTTTCATAACTTCTCAGGGCCACTATAAGCTAATGACTGCATTAGCCAGAGTTTACTGTGCCAAATATTTGCCAAAAGTGGCAAACATATCGTCACCTTGGTATTGTAAGGTTCTATCTGCATTCTAAATGATTTTGAGATATTGAGCTTCAAAGTTTTTGCAATCCATATAGCAAACA